TGCCTGCTGAGTAGTTGGGTGGAGTCTCTTCCTGTCCTTGGATTGGATAATTGGCTAATCACCTCCCGTACTTAACTACCGGATGACAGCCACCTGGCCCCCTCCTCTCTCTCCTAACCTCTACCATCCAACAAAGAACCTGTGTTTTGATTCGTTGCTGTATAGAGTTTCTTTGACAAAGTGATTTGCAAGTATAACCTCGTGTGTGTGTCTGGCGTTAGTACCTCAATTTTGTAAATAGCTGTAAATAGATTTGTCAAGTAGCAATTGTGTATTTTGTTCACCTTGTATATATCCTTCACTGCAGCAGCCTAGTAGGCGTGAGAAGCCATTTTTGTTGATTACGTTTTCTCTTGTTTTTCATTTAGGAAGTTAGGTAAGTGAATTGTCTTTTGTTTGGTTTTCATTTTGTGTAGGAAAGCGTAGGGACCATTAGGGAGTTTTGTTTGTTATTTTTGGCACTGCTCACTGCTGAAGAAAATAAATGGCTGTTTAGCACTTTAAAAAGATTGTTGTTTGTGTTCTTGCTTGGGTGGTGTGTGAGTGGGCCAACTTCTTGTTGTGTTCAATACTCGCCTAGACTAAGAAGTAACATTAATTGGGGGCTCCATTCTTTTATTTTTTTCTTGTTGGGTTCTTTTGGTGTGTGGGCTCTTTTGTTCTGGGTTACCTGTGTTCTTGGTTAGCTCTGCTTTTTCTGGTTGGCAGTTTTTTCTTGTGTGGGAGGGTGTGTGTGTTAGTATGGAATTTAAATTGGAGGATTTCACTTTAGGCCCAACTAAAGACAAGTTGGACAGATGTAAAAAGGATGACCTCATTCTTATTGCCAATTTCTTTGATGTGATTGTGCCAGTGAATGCAAAGAAAACAGAGCTTAAAGAGCTCCTGTGTATTAAACTGCATGAAAGGAGTTGTTTGGTGAGCCAGGTCCTGCAGAGGGCGTCGAGCTGGGAGCTGTTGCTGGTATTCCTGCCCCACTGAAAAATCTCCCTTCTCAACCTGGCCCTTCTCCAAAAGAGCTGCAGTTAACGCTGCGAATAAAGGAAGTGGAGTTAAAAAAGCAGCAGTTGGAGGTGGAAGCTATGCACTTAAGGGTGAGGACAGCTTTGATGTAAGTAGGCACATCAAATTAGTCCCAGCATTTAGAGAAACTGAGGTAGACTCTTATTTCACGCATTGAGCGCATTGCAGGTGCACTACACTGGCCAAAGAATGTATGGTCTCTTTTACTTCAATGCAAATTGGTGGGGAAAGCTCAAAAGGTATGCACAGCTCTTTCACTTGAGGACAGTTTGGACTATGACATTGTGAAAGCTGCTGTCCTGCGTGCATACGAGCTTGTGCCAGAGGCTTATAGGCAAAGATTTAGGAATGTGAAAAAATCTGCCACCCAGACGTATGTGGAGTTTGCCAGAGAAAAGAAAAAACTCTGTTTGATAAATGGTGTCACGCTACAAAAGTAAAAACCTTAGATGACTTGCGTGAGTTGGTGTTGTTAGAAGAGTTCAAAAGTCAACTCCCAGAAAAAGTGGTAACCTACTTAAACGAACAGAAGGTTACAACTCTTGCCGCTGCTGCTGTACAGGCTGATGAGTTTGTGTTGACACACAAAGGGGTGTTTTCATCTCCTGTTCACAGCCCACCGACCTTTGTTAGCCCCAAAATCTGGTCTCCAAAGAACACCCGTCGTACCACCACCTCATCCATTGAAAATAGAGAGTGTTATTATTGCCATGAGCAGGGACACCTCATTGCTGTTTGTCCCATTCTCAAAAGAAAGGAACAGACCAGGAAGGGTAAATCTCCCTCCCCAATAAACTTTCTACAGACTAAACCTCATGCCTTAGAAGATGTGACTGTAATTCAAAGTGATAAAGTAGATGAAGAGTTCAAGCCCTTTGTGTCAAACTGTGTTCCTTTGTTTCCTGTGTGTGTAGTGACACGTGCGCAGGCACGCAAACATGGAGACTTGGTGGATCTTAGCGACTCTTTCTTAAGTGATTCAGATCCAACAAGCTTGCCACCCGAATTTGAAAGTACCCCTGTTTCAGTAGAGCTTCAGCCTGATGAGGAAGTTATGACACTCTCAGTAGATAAAGACAAGCTTATAGAAGCCCAGAAAAATGATGAAAGCTTGTCATCCTGTTGGGCTTATGTGAAGGAACCTAAGTGTGGGAAATCTGCGTCTTACCTCATTGAGGATGGGGTGCTGATGTGTTACTGGACTCCCAGTTCTGGCTGCACCCATGAGGGAGTGCAGCAAATTGTTGTTCCGCAGTCATTCCGTTCCCAGGTCCTAAGCTTAGCACATGACCACATCATGTCCGGTCATTTGGGAATTACAAAAACATACAACTGTGTCCTTCGTTACTACTTCTGGCCTGGTCTCATATCTGATGTAGTAAAATTCTGCCGCTCGTGCCATACCTGTCAGCTTGCCGGTAAACCAAATCAGGTGATTCCGGCTGCTCCGTTAAAACCCACCCCAGTCGTTGGGGAACCATTTGAGCATGTTATTGTTGATTGTGTTGGTCCTCTTCCAAAAACAAAGTTCGGAAACCAATACCTCCTTACCATGATGTGTACTGCAACCCGTTATCCTGAGGCCATTCCATTGCGCTCATTAAAAACCCGTGGGATTGTGAAAGCACTTGTTAAGTTCTTTTCTTCCTTTGGACTACCTAAACGCATCTGTTCTGCCTTTTATAACTTAAATGGGATATTATAGTTGTAAACTGCCCTAGAGCTCCCTCTAGTGGCTGCTTTGTGATATGGGTTCGGTTACTTTGGGAAGGAAAAAAATGAGAACGTGAAGAAGAAATAAAAGATGGCGGAAAGTGATACCGTAATGTTATTGTTCTAAGCTAATACGGACCTTAAAATGTTGTTGCCTTGGACAAGATATGTCTGTAAGTATGAGTGTCGATAAAATAATTATTATCTTTTGTTTTGTGTAAAAATGGTTCGATAATTTGTACATTTGAAAGTTTTATCTTGTTAGCTTGTAGTAAGAGTGTAACAAGCTAGTTTTCAATGTTAGTTAGCTAATACAGTATTTTGTACTTTCAGTTTTACGATGGTCAAAGAGAAGGCAATGGTCAGAGGCCATTCTTCAATAAATCAGCGCAAAAAGGAAAATAAGTCTGGTTATTGGAGCATCGTTATCTCGCTGTCTAGCTGGTGAAACTAAGAGACTCAGGGCGAGGACAGCATAGCATCCAAACAGATCAGAGCACAAATTTTATGTCTAAAATCTTTGCCCAGGTCATGACAGAGCTCAGTGTCACCCATCACACCTCCAGCGCGTATCACCCGGAGAGTCAGGGTGCATTAGAAAGGTTCCACCAAACTCTGAAAAGCATGCTTCGCAAATTTTGCACTGAGTCAAGCCGTGAGTGGGATGAGGGGTTGCCACTACTGTTGTTCGCCGTCAGGGAGACATGTAGGAGTCTTTGGGGTTCAGTCCAGCTGATTTAGTTTTTGGCCACACTGTGCGTGGTCCGCTACATCTTTTGAAAGAGAAATTTCTCTCAGATAGGCATCGTCCAAGAGAAAACATTCTGGACTATGTTAGTTCGTTTAGAGAGAGGCTTCATAATGCCTGAAAGTTTGCTCGTGACGCGCTAGCAAAGGCTCAGGTCAGAATGAAAACCCATTTTGATAAAAAGTCTGTAGCACGGATGTTCCAGTCAGGTGATCGTGTGTTGGTTTTCTTGCCTGTTGTTGGGTCTCCCCTGCAGGCAAAGTTTTCCGGTCCGTATGTCATTGAGCGTAAACTGAGTAAAACCGATTACGTCGTGTTAACCCCTGACCTTAAGAAGAAAAGTCGCGTCCGTCACATCAACATGCTGAAGGAGTATGTTGGTCGTGAACGCTCTGGTCCGTTGCCTGCTGTGTCACCTATTGTGTCAGTGTTCATCTCTCAACCCTTATATAGTCCCTGCAATGATGGGTTGGATGACAGGCACAGCTGTTTCCAGTGCACGTCTGAGGAACTCTGAAATTTTGGCTGACTTGTCTATTTAGCACATCTGTCTGATCCTGCCAAATCTAATGTCCGTGAGCTCATTAACAATTACCCAACTCTTTTTGGTGATATCCCCACTCAAACGCATGTGCTAAGTCATGATATTGACGTGGGTGATCACAAGCCAATAAAGCAGCATGCCTACAGAGTAAATTCCACTAAGCGTGCCGTAATGCAGCTTGTCCTAGGTCACAGTTTCCTTCCACATATAGCTTTGCAAAAACTGCATAAAAAGC